ACTGATTTCTTTTTAAATCAGTACGAAGAGGCTGTAAAAAGACCTTTTGGTTATCTTCTGATTGATCTGAAAACTACTACCCAAGATAATTGTCGGTTGCGAACAAACGTCCTACCCAGTGAAGAAGGCTTTAACCAAGCAGGGTTTCAGGAAAATATTCCTCAAGAGCTTCTAAAATATCTGAAGCAGCAAACTCTTTCGCCTGTCCCGCTTCTTCCAGCTATGCAAGAAATACAAGGCAACATGGATGGCGTACTTTCTCGAAACGATCTTCGGGACGATGAAAAAGCTAAACGATACTTTCAGTTGGAAAACAGATACCTGGCTTTTAAAGAACAATTAAATACAAGAACACGACCGGAAGAAATAATCAGCACTGTTCCAGACTTAACATCAAGGACACAAGATTCTTCGACAGCAACGACAGCATTCTCGACTTCCCTCAACCCCTTTAATGTAACACCTGAATTAACACAAGCGGCTATCTCTCAAAAACCTGACAAAGAAAGCCTCACCCCTCCACCACCCTTAAATCCTGCTTTCCTGACCCCTCCTCCCACAGTAGAAACCCCATCACCACAAGGCCCGAAGCGCAAGAGGCGTCGGATTCAATTTCTAAATTATTTGGATGATCATAAATCTCATGGCAAACAGCTGAAGAAACGTCGGCATAAGAAATTTCGAGTTAGACCTTACAAGTACTCCATGGGCGAAGAAGATGATTAATTTCCATCCCTTCCAAATCGCTGTGTATTTGACTCTTTTTTGTCTTTTAAGTCAAGGTGCTCCCTTGGGTCTAGCTGTAGAGATGAACTAATTTTTTATTCAACTTTAGACTTGTTAGCCCGCATAATTAACTGACTAACGCTAACGGCGCGTAAATTGACAAAACCATAAGCTCATCAAGCGCTGAGATTTCAATAGTTAGTCGTTTCCTCGAGATGGAACGGAGAAAACGCTTTTGTAATGGTGAGTCAAAATTGAAATAGAGAGTTTTCAGCTCCACTTTTTGTATGTGTGTATGTGTTTTGTTATATATCCGATTTTTAGTGCTAAATAAGAAGACATGTGTTGCTAGGGGATCGCATCTCTTATTCCCTCTTTTTATAAATAGACTTTCCACTCATTAGGAACAAGAATGGAGTTGATTTAAGAACCAAAAGAGCTAGGGTTTACTTTAGAGCCACCTGTTGTTTTCTATAGAATTTTCATACCCTGTGCAATACTTTCTACAGAGTCACGTAAACAAAGATTGACATTTTTGCTTGATAGGCAGTTTTTCGCTTCGCTGAGCTTCGACCTTGTTTTCATGTTTTGCCTGAAAAATTAGTACGATTTCGCATTTGCTTAACCTCCGTTTCCCTTCTTTTGAAGTAAAGATTTTTCAGTTAACCTCCATGTCTTACTTTTGTTTATAACCGATTTTCAGTGAAAATAATTTAATGATTAAAGATTTTTCATTTAGTATAATCTGCAAGGATAACACGTTCAAAATTTGCCCGCTCTTATTTTGAACACATAACAGTTTCTACAATATCCAATCAGAAGACTATAGCAAACAAAATCTAATCAGAAGACTGTAGCAAATAGCTAATTATATAAAAACCACTTTTCTGTTTATAGATTATGATCTCGACATTTTTTGATGACGTCAACTCTAGGAAATTCTGACGTCACTTGCTCCTTGCCAGCTACAAATAAACTATGACATCATCCTATCTTAAAGGCATGCATGATGTCAGCCAGCTAAAAACAAACTATGACATCATCCTATCTTAACGGCATGCGTGACGTCATGGGCATTAATTTAAACTATGACATCATCCTATCTTAATGAGATGCATGACGTCATCTGCGTTAATTTATACCACTCAAAAAGCTAATTAAGTCCACAAAGAACCGGCGTAACCGGTGCCTTATCCACTACTGAAGACTGAGTAAGCTATTCGGTAATTGATCGAATCTGTTTCCTTCATACAGGAATGTCAATTTGTGGAAGACAGGATTAACTCTGTGTAGCTATATCTAGAGATCATCCCCGAAATTTCCAGTCAGCTTTAATCCATATACAGGGAATCTAGGGAACCAGAGAAAGAAAACTAAAGAAAAAAAATCCGCACTAGACGAACTCGGTTGATATGTCGACTTAGCTACAAGGCCTGATAGTCAGATGGAGGCAGTTTGTGGGTGATTATGGAGGTACATCGCGGCGAAGAGAGAATAAAGGGCACATATGAATGTAATACCGCGTAGCAACAGAGCACAGATGATGTAACAGAGCATTTAATATGAGCACATATTTTCAAAGTTAGAATATCAACCCGGACAATGACCGTAAGCCTTAGTACAAGGAATCAGTGGGAATTGATTTTCTCTCCCACCATTTGCGATGTAAAAAGGGCTACACTACACAACATTTACCTGTATCACCATGCTGTCTGCAATTCAAAATTAACCAGCTTAATACGGACACCGGTTGATACGGACACCGGACACTTTCCTCTGTGTCCCGTGTCACTGGTCTCATATATTTTCAAACCCGCTCTATGGATACTGTCTATCTGCGCGCTGTCTATGACCGATTATCTTACCGGTGAAAACCTATTATAGAAACAGCGAATTGCCTTTAAAAGTTCTCTCTTATGTTCAGTCCACCTATCTGAGACGCAAACGAAAAGTGTCAGTACAAATTTAAGTCACAGATTCAACTGTTAATCAGTCAAAGAAGTAGTTTTAGTCCGAGACTATGATAACTGATTGTGAAGTTTCTTTACTATTAACTTGTTACCATTACTGGCATGAAATGAAATAACGTTTTCTCGTAAAAATGTCTGCTTTAGTCTCAATGTCGATAAAACGTGAATCCATGACACTTTTTTCTGAATGCCCCCTTAATGCGGACACCAGAATAATACGGGCAGTATTGCATGTTCCCTTGGTGTCTGTATTAACCGGGTTCCACTGCACTGTATTTGGAATTTTGTTATTTCAAAAGGTGGCTTTCATTTTTACGACGTTCTTAATTTCGGCTTTATTTATTGATTGCTAACAATAACAACAGTACCGTCATTGAACTAACTGATAGGGTTCGTCATCTTGGAGTTTAGACAAAAACCTAACACTGGCAAACTGCATAAACGAGACATGCAGAAAAGTAGTCAATGCCATAAGATCCATAGGGCGCATTCGCAAATACCCTACTAACGGAAACTTCAAAACTGTTAGTCAATGCTCTTTCACGTTTGGATTACTGTAACAGTATCCGTTATGGTCTTTTTGAACAAGAACCTGACAAACTTAAAAGAATTCAAAACACTGCAGCACGTCTTATTACTGGAACTAAACAACATGAACACATCACACCTGCTCTTCGTGAGCTACTCTGACTGCTAGTTGAATCACGTAAAATATTCAATGTTATTCTCATTACTTTCAAGATTCTTGACGGACTTTCTCAGGGCTATCCCGGAGTAGTCAATCGATAAATCGATGAAAATCGGTAAATCTGATTTGATTGATATCGATTGTATCGATCAATCGGTACAAATCGATGACACACTCGTTTTTTTAATCAATTTATCTTGATTTCTACTGATTTCATATATTCATATCGGAAGAAACATCTGTTGATCAAAAATTTAAAACTAAACTCATGCAAACAGTAAACTTATTGACAATGGGTGGCAATTGAGAGGCAAAGGATCAAACATTTATCACATTATATTGTTTATCGAACATTATCACTTATAAAGAAATCTTTAAAAACATCTTAATATCTTTACTTTAAAATCAGGTTTTACAATCGTCTTCTGATGGCTGATATTGGCCAGGTCTGTAGGCTCTCAGTTTTTCGGGATTTAAATCTACCACCCTTCAATATAACGTCAGTGTAGATCCTGGTGCAGTTACATCCAGGAGGACCCGGAGTAGTCAATAGATAAAAATCGAAATCGATAAAAGTCGTTAGCAATCAAGTGATTTTTATCGACTGATATCGGAAAACAGTGAAAATCTATCGAGGAAAATCTTTTCGCCTGAATCCCGACTCGAAGCACTGTCTGAAATTCAGGCTAGGAAATCTTTATTAATGATTACCTAAGCATGCATTTCTCGTGATACTTGCCTGCGAGAACTGGTTAGAAGCCGAACCGTTTTTCTTATTATATACAAAATAAAGGGTTTTAGAGAGAAAGTTGTGTGTTTAATAGTTTCCACATTTCTCGTTTTCCGGCAGGTTTGTTGATCAGTTGTCACTCGCGGATGAGTTTCTTTAGCTGTACTATCAAATTGGTGCCAAAAAAACACAATGGCGGACTTCCGTTACAAATCGTTAAAACCATGAAAAATCGATAATATCAATTTGAGACCAATTTGACACAGCAATTCAGCTCATCGATTTTCACCGAATTCCGTTATCAATCCATAAAAATCACTTGATTGCTACCGATTTTTATCGATTGACTACTCCGGGGGGCTATTTGACGTCTCCGTTACAACAATATCATCCACCAAGAGGTCTTCGTTCATCCTCCAAATCACCTTTACTGTCCCTACTGTGATCTCGGTGACATACGGTGAACGCGCGTTTTCCTTCTGTGTGCCTACATTATGGAATACTCTTCCCTATTCTATAGTAAAATTCATTACCTGAATAGGGAATTCACGTTAAATACCTTGCTTCGTTAACCAATCAGAATGCGAGATTTTAGTCAATTATGCGATTCTCTTAAAAATGCAGACTCACTCTCGTCCTTTAAATTTGCCCTAGAAACATTCCTATTTGAAAGTTATGAGAAACATTACCTAGGTTTTATTTTGTTTATATTTATTTTATATATCTATTTACTCTTGTTGTCAGAAATAAACAGAAATATTATCCAATATCATTATGCGACTGTTAGTATCATGATCATATTTATTTTTGTTTATAACTTGTAAGCGCATAATTATTGTTATTATTATTAAAATTATTAAAACTGCAGTTGCACCTAACTCATACTACTCAAAAAGGTACTTTGCGCGGGAATTTGACACCTGGCAAGGACGAACAAACCATCAGTGAACCTATCGTTTCTCAAGCTTCTGCAGTGTCTAAGGCGAAGAAATGGCACAATGGCCAGAGCTTACTTCAGCTACAACAAATCAAGGACTTTTCCTTTATTTATGTTGTGGCTTTTGGTAGCTTGCCAGGCCGTGTCAAAACCGTTTTGATTTTGAAATTTGGAGTTGTGCAAATTCAAACAACAAAATAAGAAAGGCTATCTACAACTGGAAGTGCGAATGGAAATTCGCAGGGTATAGACACGACAACAGAGTATACTGAGACACAACACAAAAATTGAACGAATCGTTTCAGAAGAAAAAGTTTAGAACTCTTTTCTCACAAATCCCACAGATTCTTTTATAAAATTCAACTCTATCGCTCCGATAGTCAAGAGTTTTATTGCTTGTCCATTTTGGTATTGTGTGTTACTAAGATATCTGTGTTCTGGAGAGCGAATAGATTTTTTACTGTAAAAATATGCATCCTTTTTATCCTTCAGGGCATGTGAGGTAAATTGGGCTCTGTGATACGTACAGACGACTTCAATCGTTGCTGTTTGACGAATTTTTTCCCGGCTTGTGGTAAGCTTAGCTACACCTTCTTTATATAATAGTTCCTATCTAACAAGGAAAACCAACAACAGAAAACAATGCAATAGCCATGTAAAAATTGTTAAGACTCA